ACGGGAAAACCATGTGGGAGCCACCCGTCATTACATCAACCAAAACTGAATGGAAGTTGTTAGGAGTTGTTAGCCTAAAAACAATTGGAGACATACTCAGGAGGAGATCGGAGCCCTTGTGGTCATGTCCGGTGGGCGATGAAGATGATTTTTAAATGAACTTAAATCAAATTTTACAAAATTAATTTTGAAATTAATTGCTGTAAGGAGAAAAGAAGAAATAGTAGTTAGAGGAGAATAAAAACTGTAATTACATTAGATACCATTTTAAAACGGGAGGAATGCTTTATTACGACTTCCGGTCTTAAATGGAGAACTAGACATGGCAGAATGTTAAGCTTCGAAATTATTTTCTTTTGACATCGCTTTGCTAATGCAGTTTCCATAGTTTTGTTGCTGAGTTTAGAGCTTGGTGCAGCCCTCTGAGCTGTATTTTTTCCATGTACAATGCCTTTCATTTTTGCAGCGGTTGAGTTGTGGTATTCAATATGGCTGGTAGCCAGTTTACATGTGAGCTAATGAAATCAGCATCATCATCATCATCATCCCAAAATACTATGTGTCGTTGGGTCACCAGTTTCTGTTGACTGTCTGATCATCTCTCTCCACCCCTGGTGGTCAGTTGCAATGTACTTCATGGTTGCATGCCTGAGGCCTGTCCAGTCAGTCAGGTTCTGTAACCAGGTCTTTCCTGGTCTGCCTCTTCTCCTCTTTCTCTCTACTGAGCCTGCAGTATTGTTTTTGAGAGGCCGTTAGATCTTATTACATGTCCTTACCATTGCATTTTTCGCCTTTTCACTGTTGTTTTAAGGGGTTCATAGATGCCATTGTGCTGTATAATTTTTATGATGAACCTCTTCATTTGTAATGTGGTCTCTGTATGATATGCAAGAAGTTTTCTGAAAAATCACATTTCTTATGCTTGTATCTTTCTTTCAGGTTCAGCTGTAAAGGTCCACATTTCACAGCCATATGTAAATGTACTAATAGCTAGTGCTCTCAGCAATCGAATCTTAGTTTTACATGAAATGTTTTTAGATCTCCATAAAGTTTGCTGCTTGGCAAGGACTGATGTTTGGGCAATCCTAGACATAATTTCTGGTCTTGACCCCAAGTCGCTTAAAATGGATCCTAAATATTTGAAATGAGCCACAAGATTAATTATCTGTTCAAAAGTGCTTTTTCCAGCATGGAAACCCACCTGTTCCTCTGCTATGATCTTTTCTGCATGTGGCTTTAATCTGTTTAGGAGTATCTTGAGCATGACTTTATTGGGATGACTGATAAGACTTATAGTTTTATAATTTTGACATTGTTGTAAATTCCCATTTTTTGGGATGGTAATGATGAGTGATTTGGTCCAAAGAGATGGCCAATCACCAATCTCCCAAGTTTTGTTACAGATTTCAGTGAGGATATCGATGATGTTCTCTTCCCCCCGCCTTAACTCTTTCAGGCCCATGAATTTTGACAGACATGGCCCACATTAATTTCTCTTTACAAAAATGGCAGATGGGTGGGTGTACAAGAAAGGCAACAGAGAATGTAATATACTTCTAATCCCCAAAAAAGTTTATATTTTTTTAAAGAGAAATAAATGTACATTTTGAATCTGATGATAAGTGTATGTTTTATTTGTTTATAGTAAGTAGGAAAGAAGAACTTAGCAGGTGTTAATTTCACAACAACATTTTACAAATAAATTCTTCACTTACCATGATTTTGCAGCCACAAGAGTAGTGAATATCCAAATTTGAGAACAAAACTTCAAAGTTTGTTCAATTTCCTAACAAATTCCAAAGTTATGATAAGTTTCTGGGTTAGTTTATCACTCAGTACTTACAAAGTGCTGAGCAAAATTTCAGAGAAAAAAATGGCAGAAAAATGAGCCATTACACACACACTATTTACTAATTACTTTGTACCATTATATACAGACTGTAGGGTCTATGATTTCAATGTAGCTTAGCCATAGTTTGGTATAATCTCTTTGTTTAGAGCACTTTCCTTCTCTTACAACATAAATACGGTAGTAATGGGACATTGTCTGTGTAATACTCATCAGAATCGCTAGATTCCGAACAGCTGATTGCTCAGCTTCGCTGCTGAAAATTCACTGTCTGAATCACTTTTCGAAAAATCTAAATTATCATTATCAGAATTAAAAACATCTGACTGAAACAATTTTAGAGCTTCGGCTGCAGAAAGACACATTCTGCGACCTGTACTTGTGGTTGGAACATTGATACTTATGGCACTCAGAAACGAACTTAGAAAATGCACTATTGAAAAATAAATGTCCGATCAAATTATGCACGTGTGCCTTCTGATAGGGAATGTAGCTGAAAGGATTTCGGCAGAGTGAGATTCCCTGAATAGTTTAATCGTACTTCCGAACATTAGAAACCAGTACGGAGCTGTGTGCGAAGCCAATTGTATGGGACTCACGATCGATGATGACAGCGTTGTTTAGGCAAAACGGAACTTCTCAATCAACGCTCTCACCGTTGCTCAGGCATTAAAGAGTTAAGGATCTCAACTGGAATATTGTCAATTCCCCCAGCTTTTCCATCTTTTTTTTAGATGGCCAATTCTACTTCATCTCGGAGTATGGGGAAGCTGTCATCTTCCTGTGCTTTGCTATTGTCAAGGATCTCGGTGTTGCTATTTGTTTGTTCATTATACTAGCTCGAACAGTATTGAGATCATCTATTTAGGATGTCATTACTTTCTGTGAGTAGTTTGTCTTCAATGGTGTACCTTGTTGACGTTTTCTCTCGATTGATGTTTGAAATAATGCTAAAATCTTTTTTTTTACTATTGTTCAACTTGTTACAATCTTCTGTTTCTGCACATCTGCTTTCTATCCAACTTTCTTTTGCCTGTTGCGTGTCTTTTCTAATCTGAATATTTATCTCTCTATACTTGTCTTCTAGTTAAAGATTGTGCTTGTCTTTCTTGAGGTGCCTTCACTGGTCACACATGTTATGAATTTCCTGAGTGACCCATGGTTGCTTTGGTTTTTTTTTTTAAATGTATACCAACAATTTTTTGTGTTGTTTCATTTATTATGTTGGTGAATTCATTTGTTAATGTTTCTACTCTGTTTATTATTAATAAGAGGAGCAAACTTTCCTGCAGTTTTGACTCTGAAATGTTCCGCCACCACTGGATCCTTTAGTTTATCAATGTTGTATTTCAGTCGTATGGTCTTGGACGATTTAAACGTTTGAGGTGAATTCTAAAATTTAGCAGCACCATATTGTGGTCACTTCCTATATCAGCTCCTGGATAGCTCCTTGTCTTCGCTTTGTTTATCCCAGATTTAAAACGTTTTTGGACTAGTGTGTAGTCTATTTGGTTATGATGTTCGCCATTTGGTGAGTGCCGTGTCCAAATTCTTGATGCCTTGTGCTTGTGAAATGTGTTAGCTAAGAGGAGGTTGTTGAATTTGCAAAATTCCAGATGTCTGAATCCTCTCTCATTGGTGATTTTGTTGCAGAAGGGTCCACTTGTGTCTTTCCAGTCTGCCTGCGCATCTGATCCTACTTTAGCATTCTAATCTCCCTGGATTATCAGTCCATCTTTCTTTGGTGTTTTGTTAATAATATTTTGGAGTTGGTTATGGAAAATCTCATTAGAGTTGTCATGGTAGTCTGTAGCTGGAGCATAGGCTTGTATGACCGTAATATTGAAATATCTGATGTAATATTCCTATGTGTGTATAACCAACTTATCATGCACAACTATTTCCATTAGCGAGAAACTACATTACTGGTGGCAACTGTTGGCTTTGGTGCTTTTAGCAACTACCAAATGCATTTACTGCATGCTCATACTTCTGTGAGGGACATTTCATTTGATTTTCACTGGCACAGGAATAGAGCATGTATGGGGGTAACCCAGTTGGAGAGTAGTTGAAACCTCGACTAAGACTAACACTAATGCTTAAAACATTTCTAAAACAATTACAGTATCATCATCATCATGTAGCAGGCCCTTTGCAGAATGTCGCTCTCATCACAGTCTGCCTGAAAGAAACTCAGTCTCTTGCCAGTTCTCCCGCCTCATGCACTTTCACACTAAAGGAGTCACTTATATCCTGTGCCTATCTTCGTGTCGGTCGGCCCCTGCCCCTCCTTCCTGGTACCATGCCTTTTATATAAAATTTTCCAATCTGTCATGGCGCTTGATATGACCAAAATATTTCAGCTTTCAAGAAAGGATGCTGTTTATTAGCCAATCTTCCTTGATGTTCAGATCTTTTAAGATGTCAATATTTTTCATCTTCTTTGTCCAAGATATTCTGGGAATCTTTCTTTAGCATTTCAACTCAAAAGCCCCTATTCTCTTTATTAAGGACTGAGAGATAGACCACGACTCACATCCATATGTAGCCACAGGGAAGATGTATGCTCTCAAAATTCTAATTTTTATCTCCTTGTTGATGCTTAACCAAAGACTTTTAAGGCTGTTCAATTACAGCATATTTTAATAAAATGTGTCTATAGAATGCTTTATTACATTTTAAAAACATTAAGTATATTTTAACTGTCTATGGAATGCTTTATTACAGGTATGAAACAATAACAGTATATTTTAACTTAGTGTCAGTAGAATTTTTATTTTATTTATATAAGAATTACAGTATATTTTAACTAAAGTGTCTATGGAATGCTTTATTACATTTCTAAAACTATTAAAGTATATTTTAACTGTCTATAGAATACTTTATTACATTTCTAAAACTATTAAAGTATATTTTAACTGTCTATAGAATGCTTTATTACATTTCTAAAACTACTAAAGTATATTTTTACGGTCTATAAATTGTTTTATGTTATTTATAAAAGAAGAATTGCAGTATAATGATTAGTGATTAGAATCACTAAATGTCTATAGAATGCTTTATTACATTTATAAAACAATTACAGTATTTTGTAACTGTCTGATGTTATGTGTCTGAATTATTAACTGACTTAAATGTGTGTCCCTTTCAGTATAGCACCTTATCGGTCAGCAAGCGTGTCATGGATGATACCAGAAGTAGACTTTCAGAACTCTCTAGGAACAATTTGAAACGATCAGCCAAAAGTAGGTCAGGGACTAGTCTTTCATCAAAAACAATAGAAGAACAGGTTTGTGCCAGCATAACCCAGCTGAATACATGTGTCAGTCATGTTGTCTTGTGTGTGGGTGGCTGTCTGTGAGTATCTGCATGAAAATAAACAGACATGTGATTGTCTTTCCTAATGGTGTGTAACTGGAACAAATATACTACTTTGACCACCCCAGCATGCAGGGAAAGAATCATGAGCGGCTTTCAGCATGAGATGGGAATCAGTAGACACCACTGATTTAGGAGATTTAGGATGCTAGAGGTATCTACTGTTGTAGAGTCATCTTAACTGGCTGTTCGTGTTATATACTTGATGTCAGATGCTCCTGCTGCATACTGGTTGTGTTGACACTTTGTACTATCCTCTCCATCATCTTCCCAACTCAGCATGTTAAGTTCCATAATCTGTCACTCTTTTTCTCTCACAAACACATACACACACATATCCACACACACTCACATACCCAAACTTACACTCACACTCCCCAAGTTTATTACACACACCCTACACATACAAACTTGCACCACACATACACATGCACACACCTAAGAACACATACATGAACATGCACACATTCTACAGTATTCAATTAAAAGTTTTTTTGTTGCAGAGTGATGTCGGTTGGGCGGTCGTTCGTCTGATCTTTCTTGAAAATCGCAGAAACACAGCGGCCTCTAGCGGTGCCAACTTGGTGTCATGTGGTGACAGGGGGTGGGTGCGTTTCTGGAACACAGCACAGTGTACACTTGCTGCTGAGTATGTGGCACATGAGAAGGGTGAGTACTGCAGTGCTGAGGAGATTTTGAGGAGAAAGATAGATTGTAATGAATATTCTTTATTTTATTGTTATGTTATGTTATTGTGATCAGCATCACTGCACATCAGACTTTGCCATCCATGCTGACTCCTCCAGTCATTCTAGCAATCCTGTTACTTTTACTTGGGCTTGTTTATGTTTAGCTTATAAAATAGAAAAAGAAGTTTCTGAAGAGCAATTTGGATTCCGTAAAAACAGTGGTACTCGAGAGGCCATAATTTGTCTAAAGATGCTGACTGAAAAATATATAGAAGTTCAGACAAATATTTATGCATGTTTTATAGATTAGATTACAAAAAAGCTTTTGACAGAGTGCAACATGAACAACTAATTGCAGCTCTTCAAAACATAGGACTAGATGGAAAGGATATCAGACTTATTAGAAACTTATATTGGGAGCAAGAAGCAACAGTAAGATATGACAACATCTGCTCACCCCAGATAGAGATCAAGAGAGGTGTAAGACAAGGATGTGTGCTGTTGCCTAGCCTTTTCAACTTATGTACAGAAACCATTTTTAAAGAAATTGTAGAATTACCAGGACTGCACATCAATGGTAGAATAATAAACAATCTGAGATATGCTGACGACACAGTGTTGCTAGCAGAGAGTGAGCAGGAGTTGCAAGACCTAGTGGAGCAAGTAAACAGAAGGAGTGCAGAATTTGGATTAGAGATAAATTTGAAAAAAAAAAAAAAAACCATGATATTTAGCAAAAAAAATTATCAGATAACAATGAATATCACAGTGAACGGGGTGAAATTGGAACAAGTTAAAAATGTCTTATATCTTGGACAAGTAATAACGGCAGAAATGAAACAGAAGTCAAGAAAAGAATAGGGATGGCCAAAAACATTTTCGACAACATGCAAAAGTTACTGACATCAAGAGAAATAAGCAATACATTAAAAATGAGAATTGTCAAATGTTATGTATTCTTAACCTTACTGTATGGCACAGAGACATGGACAATGAACAAACAACTGGAAAATCGTATCAATTCTTTGGAGATGTGGATATACAGAAGATTAAGTCGTATTTCATGGAAACAAAAGCTATCAAATACAGAGGTACTGAGGAAATTGGGAATGAAAAGAGAGTTGCTAGGTGAAATAAAAAAGAGACAAGTGAAATATTTTGGCCACATTAAAAGACATAACAGTATTGTAAAGATCATCCTAGAGGGAAAGGTTCAAGGTAGGCGAGCAAAAGGCAGACAGCGTTACAAGTGGGAGGATAACATCAAGAGATGGACGAACAGCAGTATGAATGAGTGTACATCAAGGGCAAGAGACAGGGCTTGTTGGAGATCCATTGCAGCCAACCTTCATTCTGGAGATGGCACCTGATTGATTGATTGATGTTTAGCTTCTATAAGACATTTGTCATCTGTTGTTGTCAGGGTGTTAAAATACTTGAACACATTAAAATGCTTTATGTTAGTGCCATTTACCTGTATGTTGAATGCTGTAAAAACATGTTTAAAAAAAATGTATAATTACTATTATTTCTGGATTTTTTTCTCCTGTTAAAATTAAGACCTTTGCTTTATTTAACTTTATGTTATGGTTACATCCATTTTTGTGTGTGTAGCTGCATGTTCCCATTTATGGATGGGCTTTTCACCACACACAAAAATGACAATCTGAACATGTGCTATAGGTGCCATATTTTGCACATTGTTGTTACCAAGACAAACTTATTAATGCTAACTGTGGTGACCAACTAAACGATTCCATCAGCAAGAAGTAACAAGACTGAATGCACATTTTCTGGGTATATGTCTAGCACTGTTCCTTAGAGTATCCATACCGAAAAAGTCTGAGTCAGTGGGGAGTGGGCAAAGGTGTGGGCCAGTTTTGATGTGCAGTGAAAATAAAAAGACAGGTACTTTTAAACAGCTGACACCATCATTATGTTAACTATTTGTTGGCTACTGAGGAAGGGAACAGAGCATGTGTGGGAATGCCATGAGTGCAGTGATGGCAATTCAGGATTGATTAATTCTTTCTTTCCACTATTTTCATATGCTGTAAATATGGCAGGGGTGTTTGTTGCTGCTTCTGTCCACATGGTCAGACCACATTGTCATGTTTGTAAATATTGTACTTTTATAGAGGACTGAGTCTGGAAAATAGACATTCCTGAAATACTGAGAGCTTCATTAGTTTATTTTATCCTGACATTGATTTTCAGTTGGAAGTATTATCATGGCTACAGACCCAAGCAATCACTTCATTGCCACAGCTGATGCAGAAGGATTTGTCAAAGTGTGGGACATCCAAGAGTATGCTGTTAGCTCAGTGGATCAACCCATCACTGATCCCCCATGTAAGAAATCCAAACCTTGCATGTATTTATTTAGGGAGCGAGAGATAGAGAATACCTTTTCACATAGCCCAGAGAGGCAGGGGTTTCTGCTGAAAGAATGATTGAACAAAAAAGACCTCCTTTTGTTTGTTTTGAAAATGCAATTAACATTAAATATTTGCAAAAGCCTGTACACACTTAGTAAATGCTGCATAAGATTGAAGGCAAGATTGTCAAAAACTTTTATAGTGAACTCTGGTGTGCGTCAGGGCTGTGTACTATCGCCGCTTCTTTTTATAACATACATGGATACCATATGTAAGAAACAAACTTTAAACATGAAGAAGATATTACAGAATTACTTAATATTCACTGACGACCAGGTACTCATAGAAAAAAAAATATGGAATGTCTACTGAACCACCTAATACAAATTAGTAACAAAGGGGAGAAATATAATATGAAAATAAACACTACGAAGACAAAGACAATGGTCATAGAAAGACAGAAAGACAATTTAGAAATAAAATTAAAAAACAACATCTTAAGACAAATAGAGGAATTTAAGTATTTGGGAGCAATTTTTACATCTGACAGAAAATTAAACAGAATAATTAGCTCGAGATGTGCTAAAGCTAATAAAGTAATAGGGCAACTGTCTTCCCTGTTGAAGCACAAGCAGATACTAAAGTGAATCTTATCAGAACTACTTTTTGGGCAACACTATGCTATCAATGACAACTTACAACTTACACTTACAATTTCCAAGGAACGTAAAATTGTGACAACAGAAATTAAATGCCTTAGAAGACCTGCAGGGGTGTCAAGGAAAGACAGAATACGAAATCATGAAATCAGACTGTAGTGAGTCATTTTCTCCCCATTAAGTTATGCCCGATAGATGACGTCAGTAATAAATGTAAGGCGAATGTTTGACTGACTGAGATAACACGAGATTTATGTCTTGAGTTTCATGAGAGACATCTGAAAGTCAGGTTTTATGTGAAACATGATTGTTCACGTGAAACCATGAAGGTTGACTGGCATGATTCGTGTGAAATGCGAGGTATCACGGGCCAGACACGACAATTCGTGAGAATGAAATTATCCAGAATATTCGAGAACAGGACAGATCAGAGGGCTATATAATAGCGAAGAAAAGGTTTGTGAGGAGTCTCGTTTAGGCCAAGGGAAAGGTGTACATGTGGAAAGTTTGGAAGAATGTTGACGTATGAATAGCCTGATTTCCCAATGCCTACCTGGCATAAAATAGCGGCTGACGGAAACGGTGGCCAGCTGTGAATGACTGTCGTTCTGGATGGAGGGAGCTACTGTGTTTTTCTTTGAATTGTGTGTGTATTCGACGATGTTACAAAGGTATGATTGACTGTTTAGAGCATTGATGAGTGATATTGTTGTATATAGACATTTACTGACTGCAACAACAGCGAGTGAAAATAAACAGTACGTGTAACTTCTGAACGTCTGCCAGCGTCCATGTTTTCTCGTTCTTGTCAGTCGGTGAATGGAGAGATGCAGTGACTCATTCGAGCCAGCAATTAATAACAATGAAGATTACTGCAGTATGGAGGCTCGTCCAAACATTTGAGGATAGGAAAGTTGTTTCGTACAGTAAAATCTGAGACATCGAAATGTGTTTAGTTATCAACCTGACGTCAGGTAGTACCAGTTCAATATACGAACGTAAGCGGGGAAGATCGATGGCGACATAACAACAACCCATATTCGATAGTTCACAGATTGAACAACGTTCGGACAAATTCCAGGCTTTGAATACTGATAGACAAGTCCACGTTTTAAGTTTCGACCAAGTAATCAACAATCAACTAAGATGCGAAGGAAAGATTGCAGACAGTGACAGTGTCAAAGAGCATTCATTAATTGTAGCAAAGGAATACAACCGTAAGTCTACACAGAGATGATGTGAGACTAGGGCTGCCCTCTGCAAAACTTCCGAAGCCTTGTTGTTTGATCAAATTTCGCTGCCGACTAAAGTGTGGTAAAGTGTAGTGGGAAATCTACACTGAACAACACAGAGAAGCATCGACACCAGATCCTGTTTTTCGGATCTGTTTTTCAAAACATAGAAAGACAGTGAAACACAGGGTAGAGTGTTAACTGTACGGAAATCAAAAAGAACCACAGCTCTGACACTGGGTATTTGTGTCGCAGCTCTACATTTTCAGCCGTGGCAAACCATTTAATAGGAAAACTATAGTATGACAAGCCTACAATACCTCAAGATCAGCACTCATTGATGTCTCGTGATCAATAATGCTTCAAGTTCATCGTGTAATCGCACATATCACAAGAAAGCGAAAACAATAAAGCTTTCCTACGTCCTAAACACATTCAGTCGACAGGAAAAGCATCAAATTGGTCCAAGCAAATCTAAGTATTGATTGAAGTGTGTAGCTAGCAGTGAACTATTTGTCTACAATTAACAATGTACTATTGAAGTGTGTAGCTAGCAGTGAACTATTTGTCTACAGTTAACAATGTACTATTGAAGTGTGTAGCTAGCAGTGAACTATTTGAGTGTCTACAGTTAACAATGTACTATTGAAGTGTGTAGCTACCAGTGAACTA